GTAGTAGTGTGTGAGTGTGTGAGTGTAGAGTAGAGAGAGAGAGAGAGAGAGAGAGAGAGAAGAGAGAGAGAGAGAGATCTTAAAAGTAGTTCATATCAGCTGCTGTGGCATTCATTACTTATTATGCGTCTTGAGATTATTATTTTATTTGAATTAAATTCCATGTTCATACTTTTATAATCTACCTGGCATCTTACATATTGGATAACAAAGCCATTAGAAGCTTCAGTGGATGAGCAATTTTTTTGTCTTTTCCAATGGCAATATTCCCATTTGCTAACTGTTTTCCTATGTGTATCAGGTTCTTCAATTTGATTTTTGTGGGCGAAGCATGACAGATGGTCTTTTGCAGTCTATAACCACTGGTTTTCCTTTGTTAACTAATATTTCTATTCGTGGAGCATACTGTCTTTCTGACTCTGGACTAGATTCACTGGTTTCCTCTACTCCTTCACTGAGGTCTATAAATTTGAGCCAATGCTCTTTCCTTAGTGAAGTGGGTATTCAGACTTTAGTGGTTAAGTTGGGATCTGTATTGAGGGAATTGTATATTGATGATTGTGACCAGTTCGATGCAAAGGCAATCCTTCCGTCATTAAAGAAGATAGAGAATTTGGAAGTACTTTCAATTGTGGGATTGCAAAATGTTTCGGACAGATTCATCAGTGAGTTGATGCTGTCTCATGGTTGTTGCCTGAAGGAGCTTGGACTTGCCCGTTGCAGGTTGGTTTCTTGTTGAGTGTTTAACTACTGACTTTTCTACTTTCAATCAGTTTCCGGGAGAAAAATATGGAAAAATTTTCTATAGTGTAATGGACTATAGAAACCCCAGTCTAATGGGGGTCATCACCATCCAATCAAATGGTGGATGATGATGGAGAGAGACTGGGTCTCACGAGAACGAGATGTGTCCCGATGGTAGGTCCCATTTTCTTTCCATTATTCCACATTTCTTCGAACTGTGGTGACGCCAATAAACTTTGGTTTTTTCATAGTCTTGGATTATACAATATAACATGCTTTTTATTGAGAAATTATACAATATAACATGCCTATGACAAAACGTTGATTTTTATCTTTCTAGATATCTAAACACAAACAGCATTTTTCTGAAATTCATACTGTGAGGTTCTGGTTCCTTTCTTAATGGACATCTTTTCCATAGAAATGCTCATATGTTCTAACTAGGAAGATGTCTTTAGGAGTTACTATTCCTATCCACTTGTCATCCTTCTGGTTGTCCTACTAATTTTCTAACAGAATCCCCCTCATATTGAATAGTCTGATGTCTTTTTGTTATTTCCCATGATCTGAAAGAGTCTATTTAACTCATTTATTTCTTATGCCTAAAACATCTTGAATATATTTAAGAAATAGTCTATGGGCCCATATGTTGCGGAGATGCACGATCCTTAATTTGTATTTGTTTTGCTTTCCTTAGACATATATTAGGAGAACCAGCCTCTTCTCAACTTCAGAAGTATTCTACCATCGATGGTAATTTGTTTTATGATGATTATGGAACAAAATAACAGGACTTCTTTTTAGCAGTTCCATTCATGATATTCCCATTGACATTAATAATCATTACTTTTGATGCAGAGAGTTGACTGATAAGTCCATTGAATACATCGCAGCGTATTGCAATGGATTGCGTGCTCTCAACTTGGATAACTTGCTGAAGCTAACTGACTTGGCCATCACCTCTCTTACGCATGGTTGCACCTCATCACTCGAAAAGTTGACTCTAGGCCATGGTGTTTTCAGGTTTATCAAAACTTCCATGTTCTCCAAGGGATATTTCGTCATCCACGCTTAGTAATAAGAAAAAAGTGTACTTTATAATTGATTAATATGATCCATATCTTTTCCTATTTTATTGATTCAAGGTACTTCTATTGGGTCTGAATTGTGGTATCTCGCAATACATTTTTTTGTGTTTTTGCATGCTAGATACCCATATGCACAATTTTCTTCACATGTGGATGCACATACTCATGATCATATGTACCCTCTGTTTAGGAATTGAGAGTACCATGTATAGCCTTAGAGCCTTTTGTGCCCCAGGGTGACATGCAGCCAAAATTTGTTGGAAATCAGCACAACATGCAGCAGTAGACACTAGTTTCATTAAGGATTCCGATTTCATATGTATCTTAGTTTTTAAATTTCAGAATTTAAAGCAAACCAGAAAACACGTTTCACAGACACACACATGCACACGCACACATCCTACTGAGAGATAGATAGTGTTCTCAGAATTCAAACGGACATGGTCTTACAACTTGTATGTAGCATATCTGTGGACAGATTGCATGCCATATCTGAGATGATAGACTGAAGAAAAGCTCTGACCTCCTCCACTTCTCGGGCCTTCAGCCTCCCATTGAGTGTTTGTTATATCTAGAGCCCTCAACATGGTTCCTTTATGTTGAGTTGGGGCTTGCGAGAGATACCCATTCATTGATCATTTGGTGCTGGCAATATTGTTTATTGGTTACAGTTATTCTAAATCCGTCGCAACTTTAAAAACTTGGAATCCAAGTAGTTGGTGGACCAGTTGGTCAATGAGAACTGGTTTTCTAAGCTACTTATTAGGTGACTTCTCTCAGAGTGGTAGTCTCCCTTTTGTATACGATCTTGGCTGCTATTTCTTTGTTGGGGACGGTGCGCTCTTTTTTGGAGGGAGTTAGGCCTTAGTTTCTTTTTTCTTGGGCATTTTCTCTATATAATTTTTTTGATATATTTTTTTCTTCAAAATATGCTTAGTCTCGAAAAATAAATTGATTACATGCCTATCCATTTATCTAGGTTTTCATTCACCAATCTATAGCAGGCATGCATGCTGCGTAACAATTCCTGATTAATAGATAGATGCATGCCTATCTATGATTTGGATTCTTTGTCAACATCAGACTGTACTTTTGTACATTTTTCTTTTTCCTTTTATAGTTTATTCTTTTTGGGACATAAGCATGTATGCTTTCATACATTTTCTTTTTCACTTGTTTTAGGACAGACATTATGTTAAAATTCTCAATTCCATTAGCAGTTCTGTCTGTTTGAGTTTGTCTTTCTTTTTCGACTTCCAATTTTTATCTTTTCTGATTCATGTTCTCTTTGATACCCTTTGTTGCTTGATATTCTTCATTTCATTCAATATTTGGTAGATATTATAGTATAGTCAATAAGATTTATGGTATTCTGCTTCCAAGCACATATGTGTCTCACAGAAACTTCGCATAATTGACAGCGATGAAGCAGTTTCCACCTTTGTTGAAACACGTGGAAATTCTTTGAAGGACCTTTCGCTGAGTGGAGTTAAGCAGGTATTGCATCTACTTCTGATATCCCATATGAGTTCAGAGATAATATTTTTATGCCTTACAAACCATTTGAAATGTCCTTCTAGTGAAGTAAAAAATTTATATAGGGTGTCAAACTTATAATATTAAAATAAGATGCACCTCAAAAATCCTCTGGAAGAGGGTGTTCCGATGTTGGGAAACCTCCAACTAATCATTTTAAACTTGAGATGTATGGATATGAAGAGAAAAAAAAATCTTTAAGTCCTAAAAATAGTGCATTTTGTAACAAGTTATATGAGCCATCTATTTTTTAAGATTTTTCAAGCATTTATAGAATTGCTTGATCTGTATTGCTTTGGAATCTTAAACTTCATAACTAGGAATGGAAATAGATTTTTAAGCTGTCATAAGGTTTCCAACACTGGGATTACATCTCTTGGTAAAATTTTAGATAGTGTCCCTTACTTACAGTATAAGGAGGGCGCATTATGCAAGCCTCATGTTTGTAATGTCTATATTTAGGATTTGCACTTTCAATCCTCTTCTCACGTATTAAAGTGAGATCATGGTTCAGACACAACACGAATGTCAATGTTTGAGCTGAAAGTTGCCAGCATGAATTCATGGATTTTTCTTGGTATGTGTGTGTGTATGTGAGTGTGTGAGTGTGTGTGTGTTTGAGAGAGAGAGAGAGAGAGAGAGATTAATTGGGCGACTCATTTGGAATTTACTCTATATTTTCTGCATGGACCTGGAGACAGCTAAATTGGGTGACTGATTTGGAATTTATACTATGTTTTCTGCATGGACGTGTTTGCATCCTTGAATCTTTACATGGGCTTACCAATTTTTTGATTATTAGATTATATTATATTCATGGACCTGTTTATTACGATGAATTAAACTTGTATTTGCATGGTTGTTAAGTTAAATTTCATTTGCATCGTTAAAGGCTGGTGAACAAACTGCATTGGCCATGTCGAGATGTTGCACAAAGAAGTTGCAGAGGCTCGATGTGTCATGGTGCCGGGAGATGACGGATGAGGCTCTTGGTTTGATTGCGGATTCATGTTTATATCTGCAAGAGCTGCGACTATTTGGCTGTACTGAGGTATTTCAGTTTCTAAATTTGATGTTGGGATTCTCTTCTATTTCTTATTCAACTTCGGTCTGTCTCTTCTAAGTTCCGATTCTTATTCTACCCTATGAAGGATATAGTTCTGTGAGCTACATTATGGAGAAAGTATAAATGTACAACTGAGAAGCCTAATAAATTTTCATATTAATTTTTAAGGGAAAGTCAGATTTTCCATATAAATTTGGATATGGGAATTCTCTCTCTCTCTCTCAGTTTTATTCTGCCCATGAATTGGATCAGTAATGTGTTGTTTAAAAGAATCAGAGTAAATGGTTAGAATTTTTCTTTTCATTTTAGGAAATTCTAATACTTTTCTGAACTGGAATTGGAGTGGTTTCTGTTGGTTGATAATTTTGTGGATCATTTTCTACTACAAATTGAAAAATACTTGTGTCAATATAATATACATGTACAATCTCAACTATTTCAAGGAAAAGTTACAGAGAAAAAATAAAGAATAAAAAATAGAGCTAGAATTTGGTTAAAGAATTCGATGGTGTTTTGTGAAATGGAAATGGAAGTTTCTTTGAGTTCGATAAATTTATATATTATTTCAAACTATGGAGCCCTAAAAATTATCTCTGGATTGAATTTTTTCTTTTTTTTTGGGAACAATGCAGGTTACAGCCAAGTTTCTGAATGGCCACTCAAATCCTAATTTGAGAATCATTGGGATGAATGAGCCCTTATTCAATTATCCTCCATCCATGTGGGAATCTGGTGAATACTACCCTAACCCCCTACCCTCCTCCCTCCTCTCTCTCTCTCTCTCTCTCTCTCTCTCTCGGAATAGCCACTGCTGTGAATGAGCCCTTTGTTCAAACATCCTCCATCCATGGGGGGATCTGGTGAATTTTGAGCACCCACTCCCCCTCCTCTCCTCTCTGTCTCTCTAGAGCGGGCTCTCTCTCTCTCTACAGTAATGTGGCAGTCGGGAACCAACAACCTACAAATTAATGTTACTTTTTCAACTTGCATGAAGACAAGCGTGTCCGCATGTTTGAATGCAGCATACATGCTCTTATTTATCCAAATCTTGGTATTTGTCTGTTGTCGTGAAGTATGTGGTTATATGTAATCACTTACCCCTTTTTTTTTATTTGTTATATGTAATTGTACGAAGTAATCTACGCAATAGATTGCATTGATGTTAAGGTTTCTAAGCTGCATATTATGTATTCTTATTTGTTTGATTCTCATATGTTTACACGGTATTACTTATAAGGGCGTGGTTTGTATTGGGTTCCAACCTTAAACAATCATATTACCGCACACCTCCAAATTTTATCATAAATATAATTTTGGTATAAAATGTTCTTAGGATGGTTTGAGAATCAATTTTCATCTCTAATTATAAAATCTTAGATTCAAAATCGTTCAAATCGAGTAGATTTGCGAACATTTGAAAATTTTGAAAATAGATAGACCAGATAATGTGCAAGATCAATTAGATGATTTTCCAACATTAAAACAACAATCATTTTGAAAATTTTGAAAATAGATAGACCAGATAATGTGCAAGATCAATTAGATGATTTTCCAACATTAAAGCAACAATCATTTATGATGGATTTTTGAGCTATACCTTAATTCTACATTTTAAGGTTACATCCTCACATGAACTTTTTCCGTTATTTGTGAACTATCGTATAAGTTCCAAACATAATCAGAGAGAGGGACCTAACATGAGAAATTTTTTTCAACCAAGCCCTTAAGCTAGTTAAAAGATTTGATTCTATTATTATGAACAAGTCGAGAAAATTTTTTCACGTAAATATCTGAAACAAGCCTTTAAGCTTGCCACAAGATTTGAGTCACAAGCCACAATGTATTAAAATGAACAAGTCCGACCGAGAACCAGCACGACCCCCATTTCAAGCCCTTTTCTCTCTAGCATAGCCAAGACCATAAACCAATTTTCTCAAAAAAAAAAGAAAAAAATGAAATTATCTCAAGAATTGAGCTCAGCTTACCAATTTCCTCAAAACAGGAGAAAAACAGTACTTAATTGAGGTCAGCTCTCTGTCTCTCTCTCTCTCTAAAGAGTATTAGTTCTTTATTGAAGTCTTTGCAATGGAGCACCAATTGAGCTCAAGCTCTCTCTCTAATTCTCCAAAGAAGTCTTGAATTTGAGCACAAAGAAAAGTACTGAAAGCATGGCAACGATCCCCAAAGAAGAGCCACCAGCCCTGTGGATCCAATAAGGATCAAGCCGTGTGAGCCTCCTATCAAAGCACCGAGACAAGTTTATGCACACGATCAATATTAGGAGAAGCAGGGGTAAGATAGAAAATTTACTTTCTTCGGCTTCGGGTTCGGCTTTTGGTGCGGGTTTTTGGCCTACATAGAGCGGCGAGAGGGCGGCTATAATGGTGATGGAGAAGGCCAAGAGCTTTTCAACTGTTGAGGGTCTAGGACCCATTCATGGAGGGAGAGATCAGTGGGATAGTTTGATGGGGGAAAGACAATGGAGCAAAAAGGGGATATATTGAAGGGTTGAAGATTAAGGAGGAGGAGGGGATATATATATATATATATATAGCGAGAGAGAGAGAGAGAGAGAGAGAGAGAGAGAGGAGGAGGAGAG